ATGTGGATTTCAGTAACGACTGGAAGGCACCCTTGCCACACAGTTATATTTACAGTTATATGCATCATTTTGACAAAATGCCTGTTTCCAGCTGAGTATTGTGAAGCAAAAAGGATGGCACAGTTATTAAAAAATGAGAAATGACACTATTAAAATAAGTGCCAGAGTGGCTCACCACTTCTACCTATTGCTTTTAGAAGTACAGTTACCTTAGGCTGTCGGTAGGAATAGTGGAAAGGGATTGGCACCTTCCCACTCTCATCCCTACATCGGTTATGGAGGGGTCTCAGAGATCCCTAAAATTAAGCAGGATGATGGTAAGCAGTAATGATGTCTACTGGATTGCAGGGTCCCTCCTGTGCTTATGTGGGAGTKCACTGACAAGCAGCCCCATGTATTAATTATCCGAATCCTTGACTCGATAGATTCCTTATGTATCATATATAATTCAGCACTTATATTTTTTTCAGAAATTTTATCTGGTTCTTTAAATTTACACAATACTAAGTCACCACTGAATATGTATGAAAATATGCTGTTCTTCTCAAGAGATTTTGCTTTAAGGCCCTGTGCCATTATTATCTTCTCTTTCTAATCCCCACTGCTGAAAACATAGTGATGGCCCCAAGAAATGACCTCATTAATTGCATTCATCTATACCTTAAAATCATTCAGGAAAAAAAATACAAATTCCTTTTAATAATAGAATGGTAATGATTCAGATATCATTAGTTTTTGGAGTAGCTCTATGAGATCATTATGAAACCCATTTCACAGACTGGGAAAATAAAGCACAAAATAATTAACTCCCTTGCTGAAGACTGCAGACCATAGTCTCAGGCAGGACTTGGCCTGGCTTCAAGATACTAATCTTGGTTTAAAAAGCAAGTTAATTTTCCCCAACCCAGGCACTCAAACACCACAGGGAAGACCTACAAATTCACAAAAGCTAAATTTCAGTTGGACAAAACAATATATTTGTACTTTCTTAGGAGGGGCAACATTTCCTTTTTTTTCTTCCATCCTATGAAGTCTAAAACTCTGCCTTTAATTCCTCCACCTATATGAAATCAAAATTATGGATGGAATCACATGGCTTTTGATCAAAGTTTAAAATGAGAATGAAATACTGATGAAAAAATGAACAATACCGGGACTGCCCTTTAGCAAAACCTGTCTTGGTAGTTAAGAGTGCTCAAAAGATTTCAGTGAAGGCAGGGAAGCCACAAATACAGAGCTCTGGATAGATATGATGCATTTTGAAATGCATTTATTCAGTGCTGAAAGTGACTGATGTTGCCACTGCTAAAGATGGGAGCACATTTCTTGTTACATTGCTCAGCAAGAGTCCCTTGTTTGCAGAGTGTTGTATCTGTGAGCTCCAATTTTATTTTGCTGCCAGTAAGCTTCTAATCATGCATTAATTGTCATTAATGGTAGATGCCAGAATATTAATAGCTTGCATCCTTTCCCACTTGGTGCTCTCTAAGGAAAACCAACTACTCCCTAAGTCTGTCTTTACCTTCTGCTAGCAAGTCTGACTTCTGAGGCCAGTTCTTAGCTATTGCACACAGACAAAGCCCTGTTAATATCAATTCACATGAAATGATAATTCAACCTCGAAACAAATTAGTTTTATCTTAAAATGGGAGAATATTGTTCGAGACTTCCAAATCTCTCAGAAGAGGAGACAGACCATCATAAAAGCAAGGGTTATAAACTTGAATTAATTATAGACAAACAGGTCTCTGGCCTATGAATTCTCTTTGCCTATGAAGCTAATGAGCCTTGACAAAACCATAATCAGAAGTCTAGCTGACAAATTGTCTGCAGCAGCAATCTGAAGGGGGCTGGCTGTCTTAGAAGCATTTCAATTGGGAGGAGAACATGGCATCATGTCCTCTTCCTCTGGAAGAGCTATTTGTTGATCCAAATTTCTTACAGTTCAGCAGCAGATTCTCGATACTGGAGCACACAGATAGACTATAATGATGTCAGTTACCAAAACAAGCAGATCCCTGCCCTTTATTCCCCAGATCTGAGGCTTAAAGTTATAATGACAGAAAATGGTCTCTAGGAGTCTGTGGGAGGACAAGGATAATGTTGTATTTGACTGGAGAGCAAGAAAGTAGATAACTTGTAGGAGCAGTGTTTTGAGGAATTTCAGTGAAAAAAAAGAAAGACCTTATCACTAATTGGAATATTTCTTTGAGCCATGAGTTTCCAATAAATACAGATAGTATCACCCACTTAGAATTTGGACAAGCTGTTCTTATGGATTAGCTGTTCCAAGTGCTCAGGAATGCAACATGAGATTCAGGGACGAATATTCAAACCAACAGAGCCCTGAGAAGTGTTGCCTTTGTGAAATTCAGGGCTCAGTGCAATGAACGCTTCTGAAAAATGGGCACTTCGCTCTAGGATTTAAATGGGATTAATACTTTCCTAAAATCTGCTGCCAGGCCAAAAATACATCCTTTTGGAAATCTGATCTTTGTATATTTTGTAAAGCTGTCTTTTTCTTCACAAAAGGTACTTGGTGAAGAGTGTTTTTCACCAATCTCCCTCCTYAGTCAGCTATTCAGAGTTGTATGGAAAAGATGACAGTACTTGACAATATTGAAAACTGTCAGGTTTTCTGTCTGAATGTTATTTCACAGTGGGAAGAAGGCACAGATTATAGCAATCAGTTGCTACTATCGCAGCATGGAGGGCAGAACAGTGCACAGCATTCAACCACGAGTTACGTTTTTCCTCATCTTTTATATTCTCCACAGTTTTTGCTGGCTCATTGAACCAAATGAAGTGGTAAAATATACAGGGACTACAGCTTGCTTTTATGAGAGTCAGAAATTAAGAGAAATAAAGCCTGGTCTTTAAAGAGGACCTTTAACTGATGCCCAGCAGGACAAAAAATAGCTTTCTAAATTCTGATGTCAGGTCATCAAATGTCTGATGACCAAAAATTCAATAAATCACACAGTAAAGAAAAAATAAGTAGAAAATATACCTCCAGGTGGCAAAAATGATATAGTTCTACTAAATCTCTAGGGCTCCAATGGTTATTGGCATCTCAGGAGCTGACTGCAGGAGGTCCCCTTAAGAAAGAATATCCTCTCCCCACCACATCCTTTCAACCCTCTCCTTAGAGACTGACATTCTTCTTTTTCTTTTTTTCTTTTTCTTTTTCTTTTCTTTTCTTTTCTTTTCTTTTCTTTTNCTTTTCTTTTCTTTTCTTTTCTTTTCTTTTCTTTTCTTTTCTTTTCTTTTCTTTTCTTTTCTTTTCTTTTCTTTTCTTTTCTTTTCTTTTCTTTTTTTTTTTCCAGCAAGGGATTGTACATGTCTATGGTTAGGAAATCACAGCCTAATCCATGTTCTGAATATCTAAATACATACCAGAAATTTCTTTAGAACCACAAATTGCCCATAGCTACGGATTCCCTAGAACCCACTGCAGTTCTTTCTAAAAGTGAGAATTAAATAAGTTATTTTTATAATAATCTTGTCTGTATTCCTTCTCTAAGCATAAAGACATATTGTGATGATTAAAGATAAATTATTCTCTAATACTTGAAGATCTGAAGTCATTTTACTGCATTTTGGCTGGTTAYTTCCTTTAAGACTCTAATTGCAGAGACATTCAAATATTAAATTGCAGAGACATTCAATAGATCCATTAGTCCTGCCATGCCTGGAGTTATTTATTCCTTTACAGAATTCTGTCTGTTTTAATGCTTTTCACTCACWTTCACTGTGCTGAACAGCTAGACTAATTGGGTTGTCCAGTTTTCCAGTGATTAAGCATTTTAACAAATTTTAGAAGCCACGTAATTTTAAAAAAACGGACACATATTCTAATAAACTGATAGCTTCTATATGGTCTTGCCACATCTGCTGAATTCTTCATTAGTATTTGGCTTATTGCTTTTTTGATTTAGCTTTCTATTTCATAGCACTGCAGTGCCTTTCACAGCTGTTTTTCTGATCCCTGAGGTTTCTTGCCAATATTGTATCCTACGTTAATTTACCTTTCTTTTTCCCCACATGCTTCTCTCCTCTTCCCCTGTACTCTTTCCTTTTAAAAACACTTTCTGTGCTAAAYGTCTATGATCAAATCTTCAAATACAATTATTTTTCTCTTGCTATTGAATATAAAAGATCATAGTTTTTCTCCCTTGTGAAGTATTCTGACAGAGGAAGCAAACACAAAATAACAGAAGCACTGAATGCTGCCTTGCAAATTTGCGGATAACTCTTCTTCTGTTTCTCAAGTCCTGTGTATGAACAGTTGACTGCTATCACAATAGATTACTGAAGTATAACTGGGTTACACAATCATTCAGTTTGGGATATTTTCCTTCACTAAATATTTTTCAGGAGGTAAATCACTGAAAATATTTTATGGCAATGTCTTTCATGATTTCAGTTAAGGAAATGTTCATCACTTTAGGTTTTATTAAGTGTCCTCTTAAAGCACAGCTAGTCTGGGGAATGATAAATTTTGGATGTACTCTTAGCCATGATTTGCTGAGGGAGGTGATTATTATTGCTCAATTTCTTCTTAATGGCTTAGAAAGCTACCCTCTAAATCAAAAGATCCCAGTGAGCAGCATATGCACAAAATAGAAATAAAGTGACTGAATTGAGCCCAATTACTACAGCTTTCAGTGATCTCAGTCATTTTCCATTTTCTAGAGTTACAAATACTAAATGAAGTTGTAGAGTATACTACATACAATGTAGGTCCACAGGTCTATTTTAGAGCATCATTCCTATGGATCAAAACATAGCCTGCATCTATCACTGGACTTTGGATGACCAAAAATKATATACTGAGGCAGCATATATATCTTCCAGTGGTGCAGAAGTGAAAGCATGGTTAAAAACAAGCACAAGCTTTAGAAAAGGCAGATCTGTAAGTGAGGATGTGCACTATGAGATAAACCTAGCGACGCCCATGCACGCTAAGAGAGGAGGTGAGGAAGAAGCGCATGCAGTACCTGGTGATCTCAGAGTCAGGGAGCAGGCCTACGTGGTAGTGGGGATAGGGAGCTGTAAGGAGGAAGCTTTTGTCACACTCGACAGGGGAATAGTGCCTAGGAGAAGGTGGTTTATCACACAGTTTGTTCACAGTGCTGTAAACAGGTTCAGGAGGCCTGGTGATACAGAGACAAGAGTAAAAGATCAGATGCATGTTAGTGGCCGAGGATAGAGATAACACAGCAATCAGATTTTAAAAGCATGCACAGAATCTGTCAAGAACTTTCCAGTAGTGCTTTTGTGACAAGTAAAGTGTGCTGTTAATGGAAACATTAGAATTTGAAAACCCAGTATTACAGCATACAAGCAACTGCATAAAAGGATATACACGATATAAGCATGCCATAAAAGTGACTTAGGAGAAGCGTGGCTCTGAAAGGGAAAATCTTATCTCTGAAGCTCAAGGTTGTATTTTTCTAAATGGTGTGCTATCCTTTCTTTTTCTTTTTTTTTTTTTTTTTAATCTGAAAATGCTACTTCTGCATAGGTTTTTGTGATCTTATTAAATATTGTACAAGTTAATACTTAGAAGACAACATGAAAATTATTACCTGAAAAGAGGCCCTTTTTTCCCCATTAGTCTAAGATAAAGATACAGTACAGATTATTTCTTAAAACAGCATGCTCTTGACTTGAAGTGAGACTTTGCAAGTGAAATTGTAGTCAAGGATATCCACACCCAGTTACAATACTGTATATACAGTAAAAAAATGTGTAAGCAATTAATTTCATTGGAAGACAACTCATTTCATGACTTCTTTGCTCTCTTTTAAGATTCAGTGGTCAATATCTGATTGTGGAGAACACAACCCAAGGAGCAAACACTGCTGACAAGTCTACTGCAATTACCCTTGCACTGGTGGTCCATATGTGGCCCGTAAGCATCCTGGAAAGGTAGGTATGAGAAACAAGATCCTGAAAGCAACCCTGACAGGTCATCCAGCATTTCCCTTTTGCCGCTGAGCTCAGGGTGTGAAAGCTGCCCAAAGACAAATCCCCTTGGAGAGGCAAAACTCACCACACATCTCCCAAAGAGCGTCCTGGGGATTGGGGAGGCAGGAAGCAGCTTTTAATACTGCCAGGGAGCTACAGGAGCCAGACAGCAAACGGCTTTCAAAAAGATCCTCCATACCAGGACATTTCCCCTCCTGCAACTTCTCCAGCTACAGCGTGGGCCCCAGCAGACCCCTCTGGGCTTACTTACAGAGTAAAACTTGACTCTCATAATTTTCTGAAGTTTCTGCTSCAAGGCTGCCAAGAAAGAATTGCTRTCATATCCTAGCTCCTGCAAAGAGAAGCGGTATATACCACTGTCTTTAATCATTGCAATAGAGCATTAGGCTGAAAACCTTGTTTCAGAAACCCCAAAACAGCAAGAGGCCAAGCAGTTAATGAAACTGTTTTGGTTCTTCTGGCTACCCTACCACTGGGGTGTGGTTTTCCCTTCTTTCACAGGTACCAGAATTTATTATGGCAGTGGCTGGGAGGGCTGATACATAAAACGTTTTTCYCTTTGTTGTTAGTTTCTGGTTTTGTCCTTTGGGGGAAAAGGAGTAGCTGCTTTACCTAAAATATGGGTCTTGCTCAATGTTAATAACATTATTCTGAGCCATCTGACACATGATTTGAGAACTCTCTCAACCTGACTTTCCCAGGGAAAACCTTGCAGTTGAAAAAAAATGGCAATTTAAGATAACCAAGTATCAAAACAGCAGATTTGTCACTCATTTCATTATAAAGCATTCTGTCAAGCATTCAGTTCAATCTCTTTAAAAATGTATTTAAGGTAGCAATTCTTTTTCTCAGCATATTTCACACTTGTTTCAGAGKGGTGGACTGAATAATTTATGTACTAAATCAATGCTGCCTATAATATCAAGAATTCAGAGGGGGAAAAACACACTTTGTTATTTTATTTTAGACCATAATACTGCCTTTTATTCCCTCAAGAATTATTTTTGCCCCTCAGCAATACATTAAGGAACAAGTACAAATATCATATATAAAGGGTACCACTATGAAATCTGAAGGAATTTTGCCCCGGTGCAGAAACAGGAATGCAAACTACAGATTTTCCTTTTGCTTAAAATACTAATTTGCTCACAAAAACTGCTTGGTAAAACAGAGAAGTTCTTCTCCTCTGAGCGTAGATGATATGAGTTTGTTGCTGCCTCTTGAACACACTGTGAATGCTCAAACTCCACCGAGCTGTCAGTGACCATCCAACCTTGTGCTGAGACACGTATCTTGTCACGGAGGCCGATGGACASGAGTGACTGCCATGTCACCTGACAGCTTCAGACTGCTTCAGAGAGCAGAACGAAGGCAAATGTTTAGCCCRTAGCTAGATATTTAAATCAAAAGAGTCATTCAAATTTAAGTATAAATAAAATGTCTCCTAAAGACCAGTAAATTTGAAAATATCTGGTAGTTTTCACTCCTTTCAATTTTGCTGGATGGTAAGATAACAGAAATTTGGAACATACTTTAAYAAGCTTTCCTCAGGTCAGAGCACCTGCATGGTGCAACAGAAGTGGCACTGTGATCTAGCTAACATGCCCTCTGTAAYCCAGGTGAAGAGACAATGCTCAAGAGAAGGAATTAAACCTTCTTGCCCTTTTGATCCTTTGACTCTTTGCTTGGAAAAACATCCAGGGCATTAGGTAATTCCAATTATTATTGCACTTGTAYGGTCTCAGTCCTATGAATTGGGTTGAGATCATCATAATCACCTATTTACCACCAGGTGTCATTCAGGTCATTAAGATGAGGTCATTAAGATGAAGTCATTAAGATTGTGGATGAAAATGGCTGTTTAAACACCTCAATACAATAGTCTATGGCCTGCTGAATGCTGATACTACCGGTCGTGTAAATGGACCCGGGCTGCATGTTGAATTGGCTCAGAACTAAGTCCAAACTTGAAAAATAATAACACAGCATCAACAGATGTTGATATATCAAACACATCAGCAAGAGATCAGTATAAACCTATTTTATCTCTTGATTTAATAAGTATAAATTAAGTAGTGTAAAAATAATCGAAAGTAGTATAAATAATGGAAAGAAGGAGAATAATTAAAATGCACTCAGGCAATCACTGTTCTGGCCAAACAAACTATTGTTWAGGACTAACAGCCTTATTATTCCTTATAATTAGTATGGAACACTTATTGCAAAAGAGTCATCTACAAATTTACCCCGACTTCCCATCTTCTCTGCTGCTAAACAGCTACAAGTGGGTACTTAGGTGCAATTRTAAGTAGTACTTAAGAAGAAAGAAAATCACAAACAACTAATTATGAAGACCACCTAGCTTTATTAAATGATTGTTCTAACACAGCTTCTCCTCTTATCATTTACTTTTCTCCTCCCTGGAAATAGAAGAAAGAACRTATAATGGATCAATCAATGTGGAAAACTGTCTCCATTCCTGCTTTCCTGGTGTTTTAGACTGTGACCGGCTGTTTTCTGTGACAGGATGGGGTAAAGAGAACATATAAGATTACTTTTCAGAAACAGTTTCTAAAGTGCCATTCTGAAAAATACAGTCAAGGTCAGCTCAACTATTTTTGCCAAACAGTTGAGAGAGAGACTGAAAATAAACACTGAAGCCTTTATTTTATGATGCATTAATTCTTCAAATGAATTTAAAAACATGCAGCAGCTTGTTTAACATGCTGTAATAAAAATGTCAAATATGGATAAATATACTTTAAGGATTGATTCACAGTAATTTATTTGGAATTGAATCACTCTCAGAGACAGCAGGTACAGCTTTAGAGCATTTATCATGATTAAAATAAATACAAAACATTGTTTAAATTATTTTTAACATAAGGAAAACTAAAAAACTGTATCTTATGGAAGGTATTTTAACAATTATCTTAATTTTTCTCATGCTTACGTAGAAAATCTCCTCAAAATGTCAAACGATGTGAGTATTACCATGTACTTCTTGGATAATTTATATCTATATAAGACCTGAAMAGATGTTATTGAGACTCATATGGAGAAATGAGGTAAAATATAATGGCATACAACAGGAGAAAGGTCAGCAAGATGATCTCAATGAGTTACATTAAAAAAAAATCTTCTAATTAATAGTAATGTCTGCAGCAGTGATGGACATGCATTTCCTCGAAATAAGTTACGTGATATTAGACAGCAACTGACACTTATCTCCATGATATACTATATATTTAATGCAAATTAATGATCTTAGAGAGCTCTTARATAGAAGTATCTCCTCTTTTACCTATTTTGTACAATAGGAGCATGGAAAATCATGTAAAGTGRTTTCTCTTTGTTTTGTCAGAAGCACCACAAAACATTCTTAAGTACAAAGGGGTGGGTGAAAAATATGCTGGGCAAAGGGGTATCCCAAGGGACAAAATGACTCCCCACGACTTTGCATTTTCCTGACTTCCATGGTTATTATAGTGATGCATTTCACAGTCTAGTTTTCAACTGGCAGGAGCTATCAGAGTAGACCCTGCACAGCACACTATGTAATTGTCAAATACGTTTCTATTCTGAAAAACAACTAATTGCTAATGTAAAATCTTATTTAGCAGATCTGTKTCTTAAGCTGCTTTTTTTTTAATATGGCAAAACATACATTTTTCTATTTATCTGTGAGTCAAAATTAGATTCTATGATAAATGAAAGCAACAGTTACAAGGTCTAGATGGACAAGAACAATTAATTTAGCATAAGAATTGGGCATACAATAACAGAGGAAAGGAAATAGAATATGTAAGTAGCAGTGCAACTTTTCCTGAACATGCYACAGCAGATAATTCAATCACAGGCCAGATAATAAAAATCAGTCAATGCCACAGGGTAAGCATTGTCACTGGTAGTAGCAACAGCAAATATTCATAGATAGCTTTTCGACACAAAAATAACTGAAGGTTAGAATTGTTAATCAATATAACCTCAGCTGCAGTGAGGCAAGATTTCTACCGAAAGACATAATAATTAATTGGTAGAAAAGTTAAGAGCAGCAGTGGGAGGTAGAAGATTGATCCAAATCTGCTTTTATTTATTTGAATTACTTCACAACAGATTGTGTAAGGAATGCAAAAATTTCAAGCTGTTTGTATTCTTTCTT